GCTCTGGCCACGGCCACGGCCACGATGCAGGCCCAAAACCCTTTCGAGGGCAGCAGGGCCGTTGGTGGTGCGGGAGCAACGACAGAGCAGTGGGACTACACACCCTCTCAGCCGCAGTGGGGGAGGAAACCGGAAGAGTGAGTCGCCTCCTTTTCGGGCCCTGCCATGAGCTCTCCTCGTTGCCGGCTTTGCATAAGATGCTTTCCTTGCAATGACCGTGCATTAATTTCCTGGAGCGCAGCTAGCTCTCACTCAAGAAGTAATTCGATTTTTATTTAATTTTATTGTTGTGTTTTTTTGCGCATAGGGCGCTTTGGCTTTGCTGCCATGGTATATATGCTTGGTTTCTCCCTTCACGGTTTGCCATGCCCCCACAACTTCCTTTGCGTGCTGCTGTGGCACTTTCATGTGCCGTGTTTGGCCAGTTCTTCCTCCTTCCGCTGCCGGTGGTGGAAGTGAGTGTGGTTTCCGCTGCTTTGGACGCATTTGTGATGTTTCCCCTCTCTCTTTCCCTCTCTCTGTCTGTGAGTATGGCGTAGATTGCCTGCGTCTCCTTCAGCGTGGCGCCAGCATGCCTCTATTTCGAGGCTCCTGCGGCTCGGGCGGGGCTTGAGCGGGGTTCCGGCCGCCGGCGAGTGCGCCAAGCACAGCCGCTGCGGCAGTGACGGGGCGGCGGCGGGAGCGGACGGTGCTGTACCCCGACTGCAAAGGGGTCACGCAGGCGGACATCACGGCAGCTCGACTGGCAAAGCGGGCGCACATTGAATACCACCAGCCGGCGCGGGAACAGCCGGCGCCCCGTGGGGAGAATGCGGAGTTCGGCGATGGCGCCGAAGCCGCGGTGGGCGCGGGGTCCGTTTCGGGAGACACGCACGCGGCGGGGGAGGGCGCCGCAGCGGGGCGGCAGGTGCCACCGCGGCAGCAATTGGAGTCGGGCCCCGCGGAGGCAGAGGAGGAGGAAAAGAGCGAGGTCGTGCCACGCTACCCGGTGAGCCCGCACGGAAACATTTACTTTCAGGTGGAAACCGATGCCGCCGCGCGGCATGAATCGACGGGCATCGTCGTTATTCAAATGGAGCAGCTGGGCGTGATGATGTACGATCGCGCTGGTCGGCAGTTCGGCAACCGCCCAGACCCCGGCTACCCGGTTAAGGAGGAGGACGCCAACAACGCCAAGGCGGGCATGACGCTGAAGGTCGGGTCAAAGACCGTGTTGCTCATCACGGCACTGAAGGAGGAGTCCTTCCGTAGCGGCGAGTTCTTCCTTCGCTCCGAGCATCAACTTCGAAAGAAGGAGGAAAGGTTAAAGGAAAGGGCAGATGCCGCGGCAGCCGCCGGCTTACACGCTGTAAAGCCGCGGATGTCTTTTGGCCAGCGGCTTTCGGGGTGCATGTTTGCGCAGCCCGTGTTTCGCAAGCGGCCGCGGGACGGGCAAACTGGGTTCACCGTTCCCGTGGCCGGGCGTCCAAAGACGGGGCCAGGCGGCGTCAAGGCGGAACTGCGGCCACTGCACGATCCGGACCGCGAGGCCGCCGTGACGCTCTTTCGCGCAGACTACAAGCGCGACGCCAATGGCCGTCCGCAGGTGTCCGTCGTGGTGGATCCCGTCATTGGGGACAGGCTGCGGCCGCACCAGAGGGCGGGGGTGCGATTTCTCTTTGACTGCATCACAGGGGAGCGGATGCCAGGCTACCACGGCGCCATCCTCGCGGATGAGATGGGGCTTGGCAAAACCATTCAAACCGTCGCCACCATTTACACCTGCCTTCGCCAGGGGAAGTATGGCGTGCCCACCGCGCGCAAGTGCCTCGTTGTCACCCCCTCCTCTCTCGTGAAGAACTGGTGCAATGAGTTCGACAAGTGGCTGGGCGTCGGGGCGGTGAAGTACTTTTCCATCTCCGAGTCGACGCCAAAGGGGGACCGCATCATCTCCCGCTTCGACGGCGAAGGGGATGTCTTGGTGATATCCTACGATCAGCTGCGCAAGTACATCGCCCGCATCTCCACGCTCAGGTCGGTGGAGCTGGTGGTGTGCGACGAGGGCCACCGGCTGAAGAACGCCGAGGTGAAGACGACAAAGGCGGTGGACATGCTGCCAACCCGCAACCGCGTCATCCTCAGCGGCACCCCGATCCAAAACGACCTGTCGGAGTTTCACGCCATGGTGGGGTTTGTGAACCCCGGCATATTGGGCAGCCGCGACGTGTTTGCGCGGGTGTTTGAGGAGCCCGTGATGCGGGGCCGGGACCCCGACTGCCCGGAGCACCTTCGCCTGCTCGGGGCGGACCGCGCCCACTACCTGTCGAACCTGACGCAGCGCTTCATTCTCCGCCGCACGCAGTCGATTAATGAGTCGTACCTGCCGCCAAAGGTGGACGTCACCGTGTTTGTGCGGCTGGGCGAGTTGCAGCGCGCCGCCTATGAGTCTTTGTCGGCGCTTGTCGAGGAATCCTCGTGCCCGCCGCTTGTGCTCATCTCGGCGCTGCGCAAGCTGTGCAACCACATGGACCTCTTTCACGAGGCGGTGCTGCACTCCAACAAGGAGAAGGAGAAGGGGGCGTCTGGGATCCCCAGGTCCGTGCTTCCGAAAGGGTATAAGCCGGGGACCCTGTCCGAGGCCGCTGGGAGCAAAATGCACTTTGTCTCCCTCATGCTGGACGAGTTACGCTCCAACGGGGAGCGGGACAAACTCGTCATCGTCTCGAACTTCACGCAGACGCTAGACGTCATCGCCAACATGTGCCGCAGCAAGCGCATCAGCTTTTTCCAGCTTGACGGCAGCATGCCTGTAAAGCGTCGGCAGGATGTGGTGGACCGCTTCAATGTCCCCGGCTCGCAGGAGGTCGTCTTCTTGCTCTCCTCCAAGGCCGGCGGCGTCGGGCTGAACCTCATCGGCGCCAACCGACTGATTTTGTTCGACCCCGACTGGAACCCCGCGAACGACGCCCAGGCGATGGGGCGTGTGTGGCGTGACGGGCAGAAGAAACGGGTCTTCATCTACCGCCTGCTGAGCACCGGATCCATCGAGGAAAAGATATACCAGCGCCAGGTGAGCAAGCAGGGGCTCTCGGCCAACGTGGTGGATATGCAGAGTGACTCCAAGCAGCACTTTACGCTGGAGGAACTGCGGTCGCTTTTCTGCTACCGCGGCGACACCGCGTCGGACACGCACGACCTCCTGCACTGCACGAACTGCGAGGCGGCGGCAGAGATGTTGGCGTCGTCCGCCGCGGGTGCGAGGAAGGAGAGGGCGCCGATGAAGTTCCGTCGCGTGGGGGGAAAGAAGAGCGGGCCCCGCATGGATGAGCTGAAGGGGTGGCGCCACTTTTTCCGCTGTGGGGAGTTTCCGCTGGACAAGGTGGTGCGGGCGATATCTGGCCAGGCGCCGCGGCTGTGCAGCTTCATCTTTGCCGATGAGCGGGACAGCACGGCGAGCGCCGCCGCCGCCGCCGCCGCTGGCGGGGTTGGGAAGGGCGCGGCCAAGGAGGCTAAAGTGCGGGTGGAGCGGCCCTTTGTGCGGGACGAGGAAGCGATTATTTGCCCCAGTCAGGCAGAGCAGCTCTCGGAGGAGTCCGAGCTTGAAATTGAGTTGCACGACGATGAGGAGGAAGAAGCAGGACCTGAGGAAGTGGAGGAAGAGGAGGAAGAGGAGGGGTAAGCGAAGAGGCGAGCCCCTCACCCGACTGCCCACGGCAGCGTGCGGCAAGGGCGTGCGTGCCTCTCGCGCCACTTTGGGAGGCTTTCGGTCAGGGCCCCCGGCCGGCCTCACGGCCCGAGTTGGACGAGATCCCACGCACACTTCCGCACGCAGAGTAGAAGCAAATTCTGCTGAATCAGTTCTTCAGCGGGTGTTTCACGTTGCAGTGCAGCTATTTTTATTTGTTTTGTCTTGTTTTGCGCTTCGTTTGTCCCGCGACACTATTCGTGCCGCGGCTTCTGCCCATCCTGCACTGCGGCGGGCGCGAACGGCCCGTGTGTGTGTGTGTGTGTGCTGCTTGAGCCGCGTGCACGGCGACGTCTCTCTGCGGCGGCTGGAGGGGGAAGGGGGAGCGCGGCACCCGGGCCCCGGGCCCCCACTTTCCCCTCCCTTTTCTCGCTTTTACTTCTCTCTTTTCCTCAATTCTGCCTTCGTTGCCTTTCTGTCCGGCGTGGGTGCGCCAACCGCCAGAAGGATACACGCATTTCGAGCCAGAGCAACTTTGAGAGGTTTCCCAGCCGGGCAGGGTTCCTGTAGCACGACACGAACAGAGCAGGACACACTCCACCAGGCACTCTCCAGCCATGTCGCAGTCGCAGTTCCGAGTGAAGACGCACAGCACCACCATCCTGACGGACCGCCACCTCAACCGTGGCACCGCCTTCACGGTGGAGCAGCGCAAGCAGCTCCACGTCCTTGGCCGCCTGCCGCCCGCCGTCGAGACGCTGGAGGAGCAGGTCTCCCGCCTGTACAACCAGCTGAAGAGGTACGACAAGCCGATCAAC